TCCTCCTATACAGGTTACTTGACTTGTGTCAACCATTTAGGTCAATCTCCCCCCTCCCCCACCCCCACCCCCTCTTATAACTTCCCTATACAAATCATCTCCGCTTTTGTGGAAATACGCATACCATAAAAAGGGGAGGGGAGTATTGAAAGAGCATATCACGATGCGTCAAATAAATCAGATTATTTAAAATATAACCTCTAAAACCACCTTTTGGGATTAAGTGGAGAACGGAAACTCCATGGTAGAGGAAACGATCAGTTCACAAATAATTCTGACGATAGACCGACAATCGACAAATTCATTTTCCTTTTACCGAACTGAATGAACCATTCTTTCAATCGCAATTCGATGGGATGAAAGTCAACTTAGCGCGAAGTGAAAAACTTCAAACATCAGCAATCGTCTTCACTCGAAACCACTAAGTGGTTAATTTAAACACCACACATACACACGGGCCATGTTTTCAAGATTTTAGCCTCAAAAATATTTTCTGCTTGTATGCTTTTTCCCCTCACGTGGATGAAAAATTTATACTTTTCGCTCGTGTTCAGAGTCCGCACGAAGAGTGGAAAAAGTGGGAAAACTCCTGAGGAGAGTGAGAGAGGGGTATAAGAAAGATGCCTAGACTTTCGCTAACTTCAAAACAAGCCTTCAAGCCCCCCCCCCCTCCATTTTGGCACTAACTTTGCACCGACTAATTAGAAATATGTATTCACTGAATCGAATAACGACTATTCAGATAGAAGAGCAAATGCACTTGACTTTCCATGCTTCAATGCATCGATTAATCATTAAACGTAATGAAAATGCTGAGACAAGTGTGAGATTAGGTTATTAAGAAGTGCCCGTAATATCGGAATCTGCTACACTCTCCTGGAGTGAAGGAAATCAAATTCTAAACAATTTGAGTTGTGAGTTTCTCATTTGAGTACTTCCGGAGCACAGCTTCCCTTATCTAATTATGTAACTATTACTCTCAGTATTGTAGGGGAAAGGCATGCGTTAATGTTTTTCATCAATCTTCAGAATCAAATATCGTACTCAGCCTGATTGTTTATTTCAACTCATAAAGGAAAACACCACATGCAAACTTTTTCACAAGAGGACAAGCAGCTAATAATTCCAGTTTCCGAAAGTAATGCAACTTTACAAGTCCCACCCTCCATGCGTGCCTTTCAATCCCAGCCCCAATAGTGACAGGAGAATAAAATTCCAAGATGGGAGGAAGGGAGGAGGAGGAGGAGAAAGAGTGGTCATAATCACTCGCATGTGATTGGATAGAGCGCACGAAATGAGGGGAACCATTAAAAGAGTCGTTTGGGCTGTAAAATGTCCATCATACGATATTTTGAAGTTGAGTTTTATTGCCGGAGATGTATTTGGAGAGTGGTGCATTGGAATTGCGCAGATGACCATTTTAATGCCATCTGTATCGAAATGCATACGTGTTGATTGTTGAAATTGGAAGAAAAAAAAGGAGAAGCAATTTACCTTGAATAAGAAGACTGGATCCTCTTGAATTATTTATACCAATCTGATGTAAAACCGCCTAACTACTGATAAAAGCACAGTTGCCAACGTAAATGCTAACTATTAAATGCCCTCTGCAATAATAAACCAGCTGACCTAAAATCTAACGCCAGTGTCGCTGTATAAGGAACATAATTTAATCTCCCGGTCCGTGGTTGAACTTCATTCCCAGGCAATGGCCATGAGAGAGCACGAATAGACAATTCTAATGTCAGAGAGCGTTGAAGCATGTTTAGAAAACTTTCCTGATTTATAATCAGCTCACTGAAAACATTCGACTTTGCTCCCTACCATGACCACTTTAAAATATCTCATATACTTTCTAAATCGACTGAAAGGAAGTATTTTACAACGCTACGTAATCCATGAATGTGTATTGATGAATTTTGACTTCTGGAGATCTAATTCAAATGATATGCATCGTGACACTATTCAACAGCCTCTATGAATAAGATAAGCAGGCATTGAATAGGTTTTAATATCAACGTCTATAACATCTTCCAGTAATAATGCAACACACTGGTAATGTTCGGTAACGAGTGGACGTAATTCGGTCTACATCGAAAGTAAGGTGAAGTTAGGGAGAAACTTTAAAATGCTCTCTCCCTCCCTCTCTTCCCCTCTCTGATTAATGATCTGAGAACCCCGAAACTGTCAGTTAAGTAGCCTAAGCTAAACCCGTGAGTTAACTTAGTGCAAAATTAAGTTAGGGATTTTGAAACAATTCATTATATTCCATGGACATATTGGGTTAACTCACAAAATAAATCCTCTTTTTAAAACTGTATCCAACTAATCATGTGGCAGTAAACAGATGAATGAACCTATAGATTATACTAGTCAATTTAGGGGATTAGATTTGAATTTTTTAATAACAGCTATCCAGACGGTGTCGTCAGAGCGCAGAAGTTAGCAGAACTTCTTCAACCAGATCTAAAGAGCTCTCTATTTAAAATAAATAAATTCTGAAAGGAAGTAACATATGGTGGACAGATTTCCAAGTGGATTATACATTTCACGATGGATAGTGAAAGAGCATTCCTTATAGAAATTAAATTATATGCATACGCACAAATTGTGAACAGATTTGTTCAAGTGTACATAGGCTTGAGTTTATCAAATGCTCGCTTATTTAAACAACTCGATTTGGGAAAAAATAGTTAACTCGTCATACTCATAAAGTCCCAGTGCACAGTAATCATTACATTGGCACTTGTGCACGACTCCCGACATTTAATTTTGAGGCGGTAACGTGAAAGCTTGACGAGTATCAGTAAAAAGGCTGCAAGAAATGTTGACAACAATAAAAAAGCCTTGTTTTAGCAGAAAGAGGAGAGAACAACGCTTTGACACTGTCATTATATCTTCAGCTCCACCCCCGACTCCCACTGCCCCCCCCCCACCACAAACCCCACCCCCAGTTTAAGCCACTTTAATAGACTAAAGTTTTCGAAAAGTCGGTTAGTTTGTTGTGGTGGGATTTTAAGAAAAAGGAGAGGAGACTTTAGCTGTGACGAGACAGCGGCTTAGTCAGGGGGTTTTAGTGACGATGGGCCTTGGGAATAACAAGAGGGAGAGGGAGAGGGGGGGGGAGGGGTAAACTAATGAACTACCAGGCCGCCTTTGAAGTTTGAAACATTTTTAATGTGGCTCACTTTGAAGGAAAATGTAAAATTTTTAAACAATCAGTGTACTCTAGGCGGGTTTATAACCCGGATGCTTACGTATTTGATTCGCAATGAAGTAGAAACTGGAAGCAAATTCACACATAGGTTCTGTGGAAAAGACCTTAGATTCACTATCCCATATTTCTCGAAATTGTAACACATAAGGGGTACTTTTTTCTTCCAATCTCACGAATAGGTAAATATAAATTGATCTGAGTTATTGTTCATGTCAACATTCTGAAATCTCCAATGGCAAGTTTATACCAATCCAAACGCCAATCAATATGCTGTTCGTGGGCTAGAAAAACGCTCCATATGCTTTACTTATCCATAAGATTTCGTTGCATCAAAGCGTGTACTCTCTGGTTAAAAGTAACAAAGTGACATGCCAACTGCCTATTTCTTATTCTACTATTCAATCCGTTTTGAACATCCTGGGCATGACTACCACTCAAGGACCTAAAGGCTAGGTGCTGAACTATTGACCTTTAGACCATAATAAAGAGAAGTGCTCGGAAATAAATGGGATAATAAATCAGTTTCGACCTTTAACCCGCCATTTATCCTTCATCTAGAATACGCCACCACTTCAAGAATACTAATCACCCCCCAAATACTGGAATTTATATATTATCTAATTCTTTTCTTAGGTAAGCAGAATTCTATTGACTTCTGATTGATAACCCGACACAGCTATGCATAAGATACTATACCATCCATCATTTTTGACTAAAAAAAGCTGAAGTCCTTTTTACTTCCTCTAGTTGTCTTCACTCACTCCCTTGCTGTGAGGTCTGAACAAAAGTAGCAATGTACCTCGGCACATAGAGAGCGGAGGAGATGAGAAATGATAAGTCATCAAAATTATGGAAGTGAAGTAGAGGAAGAGAGAGAGAGAGAGAGAGGGAGAGAAATAGAGGGACCTTGGTATAATTTGAATAATCACCCCCCCCCCCCCCCAATTGTCCTATCTTCAACTACTTCAGCACGAAATTTCCCTGCTTAACAACAATTGCATCCAGGCGAGGCCAAGGGAGACCAAAAATCGGTAACAGTAAAATAGACAATAATATGACCACCCAGACGGTAGAGAGTCGTTGTGGAGGAAAAGGATGGAAATAAAGACGTGGATATACGACCGTCCAAAAGTGTTTTATAAGTCCCCCTATTAGGCGCAATTTATCGCCTAGAGATTCACAGAAAAAAACAACTGCGCTAAAATAAGTTCTTTCAATGAAGGCCGGGCAATGTTTGCCTGTATCTTCAAAGGATGCGGCAAATAAGATATCTCACTTAATAAAATAACATTACCCAGAACATATGGAGATACCATCGCCTCTATGCAGAAAAAAGGGCTTCGTGATAACACAGTAGCCAACATGCAAGTCTATTGGATTAGAGACCATCGCCTATCGATGAAACCTCCAACGTTGAGTGTAACCTACTATAATAGTTAATTTTGATCAACAACAGAGGTGGCAAAATAAGACTTTCTCCTGGATATCTTCCCTCTGCTCAACTCAAGTATCATAAAGACTTATTATAATGGACTTGGACTCGCTTCAAATGACATGGGTGGCCAGTCACACTGGAAAACTCTCATTTATAAATAGAGCGGCAGATTATCAGCTTATCATTAAGGGCACTATCTGATGCTACCTCTTTATTCAATATTAGCTATGGAAAATGTCGTCTTGAAAGTGGTCTACTAAGTCAGAGGTTGATAAACATGATGGGACGTAGATACTAAGACGTTCTAAAAAATTTTATTCAGCAAGAAGAATATCTTATAAGTACCCCCTAGGCCTTTCTTGTTATTAAAGCTTGTGAATTTTTAGGGGAAAAAGTAATGCTCACCTTAAATCCAAAGAAATTCGTGACATGAGTAAATAGTTCAAAAGAGAAATCCAGAGGGACTTCATCTCCCACAGTGTGGTAGAACATGCTCTTGGCCGCCTGAAACGCCGTCTGCCGAGCCTGAGACCATAGACGCATTTGGAACCAATGAGGTGCTTTGGGCTCCCAGCCTGCATAAGCGCAGTCACCCGCCGCATAAAGCTCAGGAATTGATATTGATTGCATCATCTCGTTTACCACCAATCCACCACCTTCCGAAGGAGGCGCTGTCTTAATACTATTAGAAGATTTTAGAAACACTGAACAGGGCGCAGAAGGCTGTGGGTATCCCGAGGAGGTGAGATTTGCCTCTACACCTGTAGCACTGATTATAAAATCGGCACCATAGCATTCTCCGTTAGTCAATAGGACATATATTGGCCAATCAGTGGGTGTAGGAGACGGAAGTAAAGGACCTTCTTCGTCATCCTCCACTGCTGCCAATTTAGATTCATAAAACTCAGAAGAAGAGAGGATTTTGTCCACTTGGCAATTGTACACAACCTGTGGAATAAGAAATGAGATACCTTCATAGGAAAAATATAAAATACGATAACAGTCTACTTATTTCATGCAAGTAACATAGATTTCCATATATAAATACATCAACACGTTACCTTAAGAGGTCTATTGAGCGTGTCCGTTTCAATAATACCGGTGAATCTCTGTCCCTGTGTCCAATCAGGACCCAGTGCTGATCCCATATGCTCTTCATCGTTTGTAACAGGCAATAGTTCATAAGCAGAACAACCCGTATGAGCATCCCTCTGTGCAAGTGTGTACCTCAAAGTGCGAATAAGTGCACTGGGACCCCCTTCCTCTCCAGAAGTATTATTGTTAGTGCCTTGTTTATTTCTCTGTCGCCTCTTTTCAAGACCACATCTAAGGAGAAACTGTGCAGCAACCGGATCGAGAAAAGGCACTGAGATTGTCTCGTGCTTGACGGCCCAAATCACCTGGCAGCCCTCGATCTCGTAGGCTACCTCCGTGGCGATACCACCGTTGCCGACTAACACTACTCGACGAGCGCCTTAAAGAAGGAAAATTTATTTCATCGAAAAATCTGAACGATTACCAACCAATGAGGCTAACGGTGATCTAAACCGACTGCTACCACTTTTATCACCGAACCCCCGTCATCTGCAACTAATTCTGAACTTTAACCCCATAACGCCAAAATCATTTTTGAAAAAAAAATGCACCCAACCGTACTCACGCGTGTCTCACAATAGACCGATGCCAACGTGATGAGTTTTGGTGATATCAAATGAAGGCTATAGAGGTAGTGAACATGTTTCAAACGGCAACTGCGCCCTCTGTTACGAGTGTAGTACCAATAGAGCCTATTTTGAAAAATGACCGTACGGTCCTAAGGACGTCAAAGGTTTCCACCTCACATGAAGTTTAGACCCGTTGGCCGACTTCAAACCTGATCAATTATCAATTAATTTTTTGCGGCAAACAAATTTCATAAACGCAGTCCCTCTTTATTCAATTGTTTTCCCACTTTCTAGCTTTGTGCTGTCAATTCATCAGAAAGAGATAGTTGGGTATAAGTATCCTGGCTTCGTCACTCATGGGCTAATACTATACGTATTACACTTGGCAAATAGCTAATTGCGAAAATAGCTAATTTTTTAATGGAAAAAAATAAATAGCCCCAACCCAATTTCAAACTTAGTCAAATGCATAAGCTTATTTCCACTAACACAAGAAGCAGGACTGCTTATTAGAACGAGCAAATACAAAAGATAGAGTTATGTTGGCATCTAATAGCTTTCAGAACTAAACTCCAACCTATCAGTTCGCTCTCGAATAATTCAACCCCAGATTGTTAAGATGGATTATAAACAAACAGGAAATGCGATAATCATAAGTGCCTAACAAAGACCAGAAAGACCCATGTAAACATGAATTGGAAAGTTAGACAATTAAACTAATCACTAACTGTTAAAGTAGAAAGTCGTTAATAAAAATAATTGAGATAGGTTACCAGAAAAATGTATTCACCTGCAAGACGAGTTCTAAATTGTGCAACAGATTCCGTATCACGAAGGGTTAGTACAAGAGGATGATGAGGAACAATAGATCGCGGTACACCACCAATTGCCAAGCAAATGCGTCCGTACTTTAGAGGATTCATTGGTCTCTCGGCCAAGTACACCAATCTTTGCTCACAGCTAGAAATAATATACATGACAGAGGGGTGATTAAAAGCAATAAATAAAAAAGGGTTTGCTAATACGAATGTAGCGTACTCAACTCTGGTGACTTTATCAACAATAACGCTGAGAAGAGAATTAGGATAAACACTGGACCACTCTGAAGTGGATCGTTCTGCAACATCAAATGACTCCAGCAGCCGGGTGACTCGCTGCACATTGACAGCTGTCTTCAGTGTACCTGAAGACGATATAAGGCAGACACGCCATTTAGAGTTCTCCGAATGTATGGAAGGGTCTCTCCGGGGAATATCATAAGCGGTGGGACCGATCAATTCGCACAGAGTCTCAGCACATACCACACCGGCTATTCCACCACCGACCACAACGAATTCAAAGAAATCTGTCTATAGATATATAAAAATTTGAGTAGTATGACAGAATAGGAAGGCGTCTAATGATAGGAATAATAAAACAATTCTAATTCTATGTCAGTCAAGCTAACTTTATGTGAGCACAGAAAATAGCACATAGTCATGAACAGAGAAGTCGCTATCCTTTTTTATCACTCATTACGTGAGTCGTGTAAAAGCTACTGATCGGATTTAAGTAGTAGGGTTTTAAACCTTTCATTTGGATTTTCCGAACAATCTCACGCTAAACATGTACCATTCCATTTTCCACCGACTAAAGATAAAACAGGTTTTGAAAACATTCGTCCCAAATGCAGAATATTATTGCTCCCAGGGAAAGCCTCTTATTTTAACGTTCATCGTATGAAACAGTGAAAGACAATGCAGCTAAATCCCGCCTAATTACATGGTCACTCTTAGCCAGACAAATCATTTAATTAAGGAGAAGCAACTCAACTTGAGTTTTAACATCTAAGAGTAGTAATTATTCACCCGGTGACAGTACAATAGACAAATATGTTATGATTACGGATTTACTGTTACCCTATGTTTAGCTTAAGGTAAAATCTCTTGCTTTGCCATAGGCAATTATTACAGTAACACGATGGGATTCTGATCTTGGACATCTAATGAATTTACTTTTTTCTCAACAGATGTAAATTTAATTACGGCGATCGCGACTTGTATGGAAATTCGGTCTTTGTTCAACATTTGTCACTTACAAGAACGACATGCATGCATTGCGATGTGGTGGGTTTCCTGACCTTACTGTAAACATTAGTATTACTAATCACAGTAAAAGTAAAACATTGATACCAATTTTAAACATAGAAAACCATCTGAACATTAAGGAGCAACTGGAAAAGTGCTCAAATGGAAGTATTCCGAGCATTAAAGGCTTTACATCAGTTGAATTGTGGATTCATTAAATTGTTAAGATTAATTCATTGATACAGTTCCAGAGGACTTTAGCCTTGCTACCTAGGTAAGTTCATACTCAAAATTGTGAGAGACACTATTGACGACTCATTAATGCAATTGAGGGGTTGGTTGTGCCATGACGATAAATTTGTCCAATCCAAAACCGCCACATGTGTGTAGGTAATTGATACCCAAGTGGAGATGTTTTGTGATGGAGCACGCTAGAATTCAGTTAAATTACTTCAAACAAGTAATTGTGGAGAGAAAAACTCAGAACGACTCAGCATTGGTGTTATTTTTTGCTCCTAAAAGCGCTAATTATCCAAGCAATGTAGGAAAAAGCGCATTAACAAGAAATGACGTGTCGTTAAATCACACACAAGAGAGCAAAATAGCCTAAAACTTTTAATCTTAAGCAAAAAAAGCAAGCAAGCAAGTCATAAGCTCGAGAACAGCAACGGCATTTGTACAAACAGAAAGAAGAGAAGCACATAGAACACTTTATTGCATAGGCGATACACTTCAAAAGAAATAAAAATAGGCTAAAAATGTGATAAATAAGTGGGCAATGCACGGAAGGACATAAATAACAGGCAGATATGCCTCAAACTTCTGAAAGGAAAGTAACTTCTTGTTGCGACCGATGAGAAGTGCCTAGACTGGGTTGAAGCGATGACGCATGATGTACGACAGGGGGTGATTGGTAAACTGGTGACGCACATTGACCCTTCTCCAGCTCAGACATCCAACGGTCAAGTGAGTCAACCATCTTCGAGGCATTATGGTATTTGAATGAGATCAGTGTGCGGTAGAAAAAGATGGCAAAGAGAACAAACACCACCACTACGGGGCCAACAATGAGGAAACACACACCCGCTGACCACTTGGAGATATTCCAGAACTTGACCCAACAGGCTAGCACAACCACGACGAGGAAAAGGAGCATTCCTAGAGCGGTACTGAAGACCCATGACATCTCAACGTACCTAAATCATTATTGAACGGTAGTTAAGATCAGAAAAAAACCAACTTGTTCAATCAGTTACAATATTTAAGTGTACAACACTGCAAATGGCCTTGACCTTGTTCCACATCCGATATTAAATATTTCCTCAACTTAATTTCCCATCCCGTCCCTTCTCCACTCGCCTGTTTTATTTTACCATACTACTTGCTAAGCCTATGCGCTTTCCCCTCCTCAACACGAATCTGTCTTTTTCTATCTTGCACAGTGATGACGATCACGGAAACCCGGAATCGAAAGGATCAAGCAAGCTTTTACTATTCAAATTAAAAATTTTTTGAACCATCCTCTCCTTCAACTAAAGGTGCGTCATACTTGCCCAATAGCTGAAGTTAATATTCAGATGAGTGTTCAGCCACCAAAATCGCCCATTAAGATGACCTTGTCCCTTCTAATATATTCGTTTTCCCATTAAAGGCCAAAAAAAGTATGCGCATTCTTAAGGTGGCAAATGAAGGAAAAACTGGGTCCAACATATTGACCCCAAAAGAGAGAATTCGTTAAAGGTCATGGGAGACTAAGGTGCATGTTCTATTTATGCGTGTACCCGAAATGACTACATTTTCAAGCCTGGAATATATGGGTGACGATAACTTCAAATGCAAATTTCACCAAAAGGCACTCAAAGTGTCTCTTTTGAGTATTGTTCAAACGTGAATAATATCAATAATGCGGGCATGAAGTAGGCACAAAACAATGTAGAAATTAGTATAAGAACTCTATTGTACCAGCATTATATCACACGAAATAAATTATCCGGTAAAATGAATTTGTTCAAGAACAGACATGAAGAAATGTGCGCGTGTGAACAGCTCTTTGGAAATTGGTCGTCTAACAATAAAAGTAAACTGAGGGTAATACTTGAATTGAGGAATTAGAGTATAAATGTGGCATTAGTAAGTCACTAATACTCGCACACCGTTGAATGGAAAAGTCGTTAAGAAAATAAATTGACAATTACCAGTGAAAGACTCCTTCGTGGACTAACCGATGACGTCTAAGAGTTACAGGGAAATAGATACGTTGAATTTGATTTTTACTTCCATTCATTTAGACAATGAGCACTGAATGCGCTTAATTTTAACCACAATTCTTTCAGTTCTATTTCAAATTGACTCAGTTAAAAAAAACTTTCACGAATTGTGCTTTACTCCACTGGAAAGGTATATTTTACCTCGTGTATCTGCTTAGTGGTTAGTGATGATTGCTAGATTAAGAACTAGTGTTACTACCACAAGCTGAAAGTTAACTGACGGACGTACGTCAACTCACCAGCGGACCTTTTCGTAGGGAGTGTCAATGCTACCATCAGAACTTTCGCAGATGCTGATGTAGCACTCAAGTTGGGGAAGAATGCAGGTACTGATTAGGAGGGCCGTGATATGAACCACAATGAGGAGGGAGGCGAAGGCTGTGAAAGCTATAAGAAGAGCTTCTGGAATTGGATTCACTTCATCTTGCTCGATCTAAATTCAAAATAACACAGAGACGTTAATTGCAAATTCAATAAGGGAAATAATGGGGGGCTATGTAAAAACAACTACCACCTATTAATTACTAACGTTTCTCCCCTTTGACCAATATCATACAAACCAAACATTTGTTTAATCAATTAATCTCCTTAAGCAGATAATAGACAAAGATAAATGAAAATTCATGTCCATACCAGAGGGAGAGAAAGGTACGCGATTCAGTCAGTTCATTGCATTAATCGCTAATAAGACAAATAAAATTTTATTCAACATGAAAACTTAAACTTTCAAAAAAGGAATGCGAACTACCACTTCAACCAAATTCAGGACCCCATGAGGAAAAGCAAGACAAATCAGTTCGGAATTGCCATTTCCATTTTACATTCCTCTAAGCTTTGTGCTCCGCAAAAGAGGATGCAGCGCATTAGGACCCGAAAAAACGCTTTCGAATAGATCATTCATATAATAATAGTTAAGTAGACAGCAAATATACCGATCAAAGTTCAAAAAACCGTCTTTGTCGATACTTGAAACCTCTCGAAGGGCTTTCCTTCAAATAATATTGTAGACACCTCCCGACGCCACTAAACCATTTTTAAAGTTAGATAACTAGAATACTAAATAAACTACATACATACATAAATGGAAATTATATTAACAATGAATTCAATCACGACAGCCAGTATATTAACACAAGAAGGCCTGCCCTAGTGTAATTATCGAAAAATCCACAATTAAAACCGTGTGACGTCTTTAGATAGTGTAATGAGAGAAGAGAATTACCGTCAATTCAATCATGGCTACCATTGCAAAACCAGATAGAAGAGCTGATGCACGACTAGACGCTTTGAGCTTCGCTCGACTGAGATGGAGTCTCCGAAGAGCTGTACGATTTGATGACCTTTGATGTACGGCCAGAGGGAGGTGTTCTGTCCATTGGAAGTTGGCATCTCCCTCACTGATTCTTGCTGCCATTCCGAGCTGATTGGTAAAGACTTATTTCGAGGCTTTAAAAAAATGCATAAAAAATTATAAGACAGGAACTAACTTATCTCTAATTTACATCTACGGCTATCATTATCTGGCGCACACACCTATATACATATACATAAACATATATAATAAACAGTAATATCAACAGAAATATTGAATAGATCAATATTCTATCAACAGGGCAGGGATAAGATAGGGGAGACCTTCTAGTTAAAGTGTTCTATTACTAAAAAAATCTTTGAGTTTATGATTGTAAGGACTCAATAATAGACTTTCAATGAAAATGTGAAAGGCATAAGTATTTAATTGAAGCCACAGTTACTGTAAAAATAAAATTTAACCAAAGAAGCTATTAAAATTATGCTTTGAGTGCCAATCAACCTTAATATCGGATAAATATTACAATGTAAATTTTTTACGAAAATATGGCAATACTTACCTTTACAAACGTTGCGCTAAAAGGAGAAGTCTGAAGGTCAGTCAATCACGTGCCTAACATATTTGAGTTAGTGACAATAAAATAATTAATTGAAATGTACACTTTTGTTTTCATTTTCACCTTAAAGAAAATAAAATATTTAATATATATATGCAAGGTTAACTTTAAAATGTTAATTAATTTTTTGTGTGTAGTAATCATCTTTGCAAATAAAACGTGAAATCAAACTCTCAGAATTCTTTATTGATTTAAATAAATTTAAAGCCGATGTAATCGTGCATCATACTAATTAAACAACAAATACCTTTGCAATAGATATACTCTAAAATATGAATACTCGTTAAGTCATTTTATTATTTTAGGTTGGCGTTTAAATGTTATAGCATTCATGTTTGAACTTATAACTAATCGGATGCAGTATAAGTGGGAAAACTATTACACAGCTGGTATTCACGGAGGTGTTTTGAAAGAAATTTTTTGAATATGCTGTTCGCGAGGGTTATTAAAACAGTGATATTATATTCCGAAATAAAAAAGGCTCGATGTTTCTAGAGAAAATTAATGCCAAAGTTTTTAGAAACAGGATCAGAAAAAACCATGCATATCAGGTCTGGTATGTTAAATCGTTTAAATAATATCATGTCATACTTCCTCCACGTTCTACAGTGTAAATTTATTGTTCTCTTGTCTATTTCATATCGGTCTCTCACTTGATGTACTTCTGACAATCATAGACGAAAATACTATGTCATATATTACCCTTCAATCATTGGACTGTGGGAGGTTTAATATGATTACATGACACAAAGTATTGTAAATGCTGGAACTATATTGTTAACTTGGGTAGATTTTTCAAAACGTCCCTCTTCAATTAATTATCTATTTGGTACTTTACTCCAACTGATTGTTAGCCCTAGTTCAAGTTAAAGTCGCTGGTGTTCTTATTTACTTCTTATCTGTAGAGGATACCGCACAAATAAGCCTTAAGAAAAACATCGATGCTCCTCTTAGAAATCAAACCATCTATGTGCAAATGCATCTATCCTGTGGCAGCATTCTTCAGACTTGATGGAGCTGTAGATTCATTAAAGTAATAAATTTCTGTAGTCACTGGATATGGTACATTGACACTTTAAATATGTATATATATATATATATATATATATA